GAATAATTTCAAGTTTTTTTGTTCCAATGAATTTATTAAAAAAACGTGAAAAAAATTCAATTGGCTACGAATAGAATACAGTGACTATTCCAAAACCAATTAGTTACATAGATCTGCATCCATCCGAAGCAAATTGCCAAGAAAAAATCGAATGCTACACATTCGTAGTCAATTCACAAGTATTTCCACAGAGATTTCATAAGACTCACAAAATTAGCCACGAAAATATAGAGATATAACACTTTATATTTTTAACTGATATCGTCGCTCAACTGTTGCTAATGGCTACAAACTATTTGTGCGGTCTCGTAGCTAGTTAGTGGCAATATATTATTCGTAGTCAGATGACCAAGGAGTATTTTCCTGTTTCGAAATCCATATACATTGCCACTTTTTTTTTTGTCATAGTGTGACTAATATGTGGTTCATAAGGACTTGTTACGTAATTATTTTTAACATCTTTGATTGATTAAATAGTAAAAGAGGAATACTACATGTTTATGATGAGTCATATCGGCAGAGCTCGAAAGCTTTCAGACATCGAATCAAAATCAAAAGCATTTTAAGATGAAAAAAATATGATGCCTGGTTTTTCTCACAATTAATATGATCTACTGAACAAATCGAAAGTTTAGATATTCACCGACATATGTCTGTACATCACCACCTTCTCTACCTTAATTTTTCTTCTCTATTAATGAGATCACTTGATTTCAAATTATCCTATGAGGAAATTAACTTGCTTCATAATTATTTGTGGTTAAAGTGTTTTTAATCATAAATTAATTAGTTAGTCTGAAAAATATATGTGGCTATAAATATAGAATCTATAGTGGTAATTGTTAACAAAAAAAAAAAGAATCACTGAAAAAAATATTTTCCAACTACAATTCTTTTTCAAACACCCGTTTTCAAATTTGATAATAAAACTGATGAATTTGATTTTGAGTTGGAAGTTAACAAATTTTAACAAAAACAAAACAATGGTTACCTACTAAAATATTGGAAGGCTTTGTATTGTATCCAATAGATGATAAAGAATAATATTACTATTAGTCCAATAAATTCCATTTTCTATCGTCATTGCTTGGCAGGGGTCGATGTCACGATGAATCACTAGAGCTTCAAATTTCTTTAAATGTATATATATTCAGAAAGTGGGACATGTAATGTAACCCGCGTTGCTATTATTTCTCAGATGTTTTTTTTCTGTTTTTATCAATTATTCATAACTTTTCTTACTGACATTTGGATTTATTATTTCAAATTTATGTGATTCTAACTTCTACATACCACCAACTCTTATTTGTCTAGTAGTATTCATATATTTTTCTTTGGAATGGAATAGAGAGAGCACTCCACCTATATTTATCGTCTAGATAAACAAACTGATATCAAAAGCGTGGTGGTCTAATGGTAACATAAAATGGTTGGTTTCTTTGTATCTCGGGTTCAAACCCCTTTCAATACGAAAGGTTATTCTTTAAATCAGAATATCCAAAACTGCCTCCGGAAATTATGTTCCAAGGGGTTCGAAACTCCAACGGCTT